GTGAAGTCGCTCAGTCGTGTCTGACCCTTTGTGACCCATGGACTGTAGCCTGCACCAGGCTTCTCCGTCCATGGGATCTTCCAGGCAAGCGTACTGGAGTGGGTTGCCATTTCCTCCTCCACGGGATTTTCCCGACCCAGGGATTGAACCTGGGTCTCCCGCATTGCAGGCAGATGCTTTACTCTCTGAGCCACCAGGGAAGCTATCAGGCTTTCCAAATCACTGTAGTACCTTTCATCATCTCTAGGAGCAACATAGCACAATGGAAACATATCTGACTCAGGTAGGCCTGGCAGTGACAGTATTCTTTAACAGCCACTTAATTTCCCTGAGCCTCCATTATTATATCTCTAAGTGGAGTGTGGTGCTTATATCACAGGTTTGTTTTGAGAAATGAGAACATATGCAAAATATTTGCACAAGGACTGCCCTGTATTAGGTGTTCAATAAAGAGAGATATGGACTTCCTAGGTGGAACTAGTGGTAAAGACCCTGTGTCGTAATACAGGAGACGTAAGAGGCACAGGTTCAAAACCGTATCAGGAAGATCCCCTGGAGTAGGAAATGGCAAATCCACTCTAGTACTCTTGCCTGGAGAATCCCATGAACAGAGGAGCCTGTAGGCTACAGTCGATAGGGTTGCTATGAGTTGGACACGACTGAAGCGATTTAGCACAACATAGCGCAGAAAAGGGATATAACACTCAAACATCTTGTCTCCCAGTCCAGTCTCCCTCCCCCTGCAATAGAACCCGGTTAGGGCTGATGAGACTTGAAATCACCCCAGGACATGGAGAAGACCTAAATCTTATACCAGGTTTCATTTGTCCTAATGTGCCCAGAGGAAGTTTTTGTCTATTTTTATTCTGTTCTCTTTCCTCTTTTTCTTATTTTTCTTCCTCTTTGGGAACTTCCTTTATTTCCTCCTAGCTTAAGGATAGATAAGAGTTGATTACAGGGGTTGCAAAAAGTAAGGGATGTAGTTGTGGTCTTTTGGTTAGGGGTCTGATGGTCATAAAGTAGAAAGAAAAGTGTCTTTGTTCAGACTGCTAAAAGAAAATTCCATAAATTGGGTAACTTTTAAATGGCAGCAATTTATCCCTCACAGTTTCTGAAGTTCAAGATCAAGGTGCTGCAGAATCCATCTGGTGAGAGGTGCTTAATAGTCAGCTGTCTTTTTCTTGCTGTAACCCTATATGGCAGAGAGGACAAGACATCTGTCTCAGGACTCTTTTATAAGGGCATTAATTACCTTCCAAATGCCCCCTAGTATCTTCATGTTGGGGGTTAGGATTTCAACATATGAATTTGAGGAAAACACATTCAGTCCATAGCAGAAAGGGCATTAGTTTTTCCTTCAACAAATGAAAGAATGGTCCAGACTAGGATAAAATAAATATCCTAGAATTACTGGGTAACATACCTGGATAGTTGAAATCACTCATAAAATCAGTTGAGGAGAGTCACTATTCTCATGCTGAAGTACATACTTAAATATAATACTGAAAGAAAAAAAAAAACCATAAAAAACTACCTTTTTTGGTAAAAAACCATTGCAAAGTGGAATTGTCACTGTTGTTGTTTAGTCTCTAAGTGGTGCCTAACTCTTTCATGACCCCATAGACTGTTGCTTCCCAGGCTTCTCTGTCCATGGGATTTCCCAGGCAAGAATACTGGAGTGGATTGCCAGTTTCTTCTCCAGGAGATTATCCCAACTCAGGAACTGAGCCCACCTCTCCTGCATTGGCAGGCAGATTCTTTACCACCAAGCCACCAGGGAAGTCCCACAAAGCAGAACAGACAGACACAATTGTGATCTTTGCTGAGTTTGCGTAATGAGCTCTTAACTAAATTGACTTCATTTTAAATGAAGACTAGAAATGGATACACACACACACACACGTGTGTGAGTGTGTGAGTGTGTGTGTGTGTGTGTGTGTGTATAGCTAGATAGGTAAACAGTCCCCCACCCCTCCTGTCTCCACATCTTCTATAGTCTGACTCTGGCTTTCATATAAAGTTCTCTTCCAGGAGACATCTGGTGTCATATTGTTCTCTCTGGATTTGAAAGTCTTTTTTCTTGAAGCATGATCCCTTGAGGGACTAGTCATCTATTAGAACACAGAATGGGTAGTGAATAGGGAGTGCTGAGAAGTCAGGACTTGGACTATTTAATACAGCTCTGACCTTAACTAGCTGAGCAAGTTCGAATCTGTGTGGAAGTAACTTCTCTTTAGAAGAGGAATTCAGTAAATGGTTTCTTATTCTCTGTGTGCATCACATTATTTATCTATAAATGGAAGCAGCTGGACAAGATAATCTCTAAGGACCCTTCCTGTTCTTAATTCTAAGATTATCTTCTCTTATGTTAGGACAATGTGGTGCTTACTGGCACCACCATTAATGAAATTACCCATCATTTATCTTATAAAGGGAAAGCAAAAACCAATAACAACGGGCCAGCTAAGCCTTTCAAGAAGAGTATGTGGATTTTTATCATACCCGCAGCTCTGCAGTGATGCTTGGGATGAATGTGAATTTCTTAAAAAAAAAAAGTTGCCCTGGGGTGACCTGACCTATGTTATTGTTTGGACTTGGATACAGCAAACACGTTCTACTTTAGTGTAGTTATGTATGCTTGAGACTCGGAATGTAGCTGAAAATAAAAGTCTGTACTTAATACTTGTTGGTAAGAGATTATCCTACAAAAAAAATGTTTTTTTCCATCTCCTTATCTCTTATTTACCTCTTCACTCAGACCTTGCCTCCTACTCCACAGAGCAGGTTCACAGGAGGTTACCAGGTGGCGCTCACTCAGATTTCATTCCCTCAATTCTACAAGTACCCATTAAGTTTCAATCTTTATCTTTCTTCTTCCTGTCATAGAGGATGAGGTGTCCTGCCAAGGCTAAGCGTCTACAGGTCCAGCACTTGACCTCATTTCCTGTTCACAGGGTTAGGATCCTGATGCAACTTTTGTGCTTCCTCCCCATCTTTAAAAACCACACATCTGTTTCCAGTCCGCCCCAAAACATTTTTAGTGACCCTCCCAACTGCCTGTGAAAGGTCCAGCCCAGGAGTCCTGCTTCCATTAAGTGCCACAATAGAAGAGCGTAATTCCTAGAGTAAAGGGTCTCACTTCACTTGTACACAGCCATTAAAGTGGCTTCCGTTTGACCCCATTTCATGTAGCCTTAATCTTATCCTTTGCGTGCCTCTCTCACCATTAGATAACAGAAATGAAGCGATTTCCTTTGTGTTTGGCCTTTCCTGTAAATCTCATTTCCAGATTTGCTCCAAATTATGGGAAAGATTAAGTGGAGTGGGAAAACGAGAAGAAGGCAGAAGACATTAGGCTCTGTTGAGGCAGGGCAGCCAAGTTTTACAGCTTGATTTTACCCCTTTCGAAATCGAGAGGGCGTGGCCTGCACCATCCACGGGCTGACACCCTCTGCAACAGGAGGTGTGGGCAGTGCATCCCCACGAGGGCATCCGTGCCCCAGAACAGCTCTCGTCACTCTCCCCCTTTCCCCAGCTGTCAGCAGAGGAACTTCCTCTGACCATCTGCTGCTGCATTAGTCAAAGTTCATCAGCTTGTCCACAGGATTTCTCTCCCAAATCTGTATGCCTGCCCTATTGTTCGTTATATGTCTGGTTTTCTCATTTCTTAGGAAAGTTCTTTTTTCATTTTACATTTCATTCTGTTCCTTTGAACATGGATCCCAGATACTTCTAACTGCAAAAACTTGAATACTCCCCCCCACCTGTTTTAGTGTGTATAATTGTAGTCCAGAGATGAATAGCCAAGGAAGCCCTAGTGCAGAAACTCAGAAGAACCAAGGTTCATGTAAACGGAACTTAGGTCAGTTTATCTCTGACTCTCTTTTGTGACCTGGGGCACCTGACATCATTTTCCTGCCTCAGTTTCCTTATTTGTAAAATGTGAGTAAAAACATTAATCTGTCTAGCTTCTTGAGTTCTATAAGAACTATAGATAATTCATGGAAGAACTACCGTGCTCACCTACTGTTATTTCTGCTAAATGTATTAGCAGCAGCAGCCTCAGCATCATGACATTCCTAAAATTGCATCTGTGCCTCACAGCAAGAACATTCTACCCTAGAAACAGGTATAACCCATGTCCTTAATCAGACTGTCAGTATTTAAGCATATTTTCTCCCAGACTGTCTGTTGGGGAAGAGGGGTGTACTGTGATCCCCAGAAGTTCTTTTGTAGGTAGAGTTGGTGTCCCAGTTTGTTCAGCTACCTCCATCGACTCCAGGGACACTTCTAGCTGAAGATGACTAGTGCCTAGAGGTGATTTAGACTAGAATCTGGGCCACTTATCCACGTGCCAAAGTTCCCAGTTGTCTGTGGTATGTGGTGCTTCTTCCTGAAGGTGCTGGGTGAAAGTGCTTATCAGTCAGAGACTCCTCAACAAAAGGCTTGACAGCCCCCTTTGTCAAGACTTTCCTGCAGAAGACATGGTGGCAGATTGGCCCTGCATTACACACCTCTGCATTCTTTTGCAGACTAGCAACTTTTTGTTGTGTTAGAGAAAATAACATGAGAATTTTTTTTCACAGCGCTATTCAATAGAGATAGCTATGAGATCCATTACTGTTGTCAAGCACACAACATGGAAGCGTGGTGTCTCTGTGCCTGAAAATGCAAGCAGTATGGTGGCTTCCAGAGCAAATGGCAGAATCAGGTTAGCCTAGCACAGTTGCCAAAGGTCTAGGTAAGAGATATTATACAAATATCTCAGTTATTCTAGTTCCGGACTCTAAGATTTCTAAAAGTCACTTTCACACAATTCATTATTATTAATCTTTGTAAATATTTGATAAAGTCCAGAAACTTTTTCTGCTGTGGAAAATAAATCATCCCTAATAGCTGAATTTTTTTTCTTTATTTTAAACTTGAACTTTTGCCTGACAGTCACATGTCATCACCATGCTTTTCTCGGCTTAATACTGTTTTTCTTACCTCCACCCTAGGATGGCCGTCTGCGGATGAATGACCAGCTGATTGCGGTTAATGGGGAATCTCTTCTGGGAAAGTCCAACCATGAAGCTATGGAAACACTTAGACGATCCATGTCCATGGAAGGAAACATCCGAGGGATGATCCAGTTGGTGATTCTGAGGAGGCCAGAGAGACCAATGGAGGTGATGCAATGTTATTTCCCTGTGAAAACTGCCCAAATGGCCACCAGAAAATTCACACTTCCATCACTAGTGTGGTACCTAGGCTCGTGTTGGTTTCTGAAATTAGAAAATATGCTCCTAGAGGTGCTCTGATGGGATTATGTGGCAAATAGGTGGTTATATATTTTAGGTATAACTAGAAGGTATAAAAATGTACATATAAATTAAGTCATTTATCCAGTGTAACAGGTCCATAATTTCTAGTTTTTCCCCAGAAATTTCTAGAGCTCTGAACTTTATGAATTATACTTTATTCCTATTAGGAACATTAACACATATAACATGCTTACATGCTTTTTGGATGATATGCTAGCATTGTCCATTCCTTATTAAGTTCCTAATAAGATGTCTATAATGCTTACTGTGAAGATTATTATAATGCAATTAGCTCTCTATATTCTTCCCTACAATTTGTGCTTGGGTAATACAAATCTGGGGCTTCCCTTGTGGCCCAGTGGTAAGATTCTGCCTGCCAATGCAGGAGCCATGGGTTCAGTCCCTGAGTTGGGATGATCCCGTGGAGAAGAACATGACAACCCACTCCAGTATTCTTGCCAGGAAAATTCCATGGACAGGGAAGCCTGGTGGACTACAGTCCATGGGGGTCTCAAAATAGTCAGATACAACTTAGCAACTAAACAACAACAAATAGAGATCTGCAACTTAACTAATTTAAAATTTGATCTATTAAACAAACATCTTGCTTCATATTATTAAATATACTTTAATTAAAAATTTTTGAAATTTAGTATTATTATTATTTCTTTACGGAGTTTTTTAATGTAAGGAATATTTTTATGTATACATGAAGTATAAACAAAATATTATTGAATGCTGATATTGCTAAGTATTTCACTTACATATAGTTATATTTATATAATGATTGTATTTTACAATGATCTATCAATTATATTTATCATAAAATATTCCTAAAGCATTATTTTTGCTAATGTATAGGCAATAGTTATTAAATTCTCTTACAAATTATTTTAAGAAAAGATAAGAAACAACTATTAGAAACTAGTTGTTTCTTAACAACTATTAAGAAACTCTTAATAGTTAAGAGTTGAGAGTTGAGAAAAACATCAGAAAATCACATATATATTCTATAAGGACAAATAATGTTTGTGTGATATAATAATACAAGAAGTTAAAATAGAATCCTATTAAAACACTGTTAGTTTTAATAATAAATTCAACTTAAAAATTGTAAAAGATTTTCAGGTTAAGAATAGAAGGTAGTTGGGACTCAAAGTGATTAAAGTTTGGGTTCTAGAGTTTTAGATTGAGTTAAAAACCCCATGTTGGTCACTTCCTAGCTATGTAAAGACATGCATAGTTGAATGCTCAGTAGATAGCAATACAGTTGTCTGCCTTATCCTTTCATATATCTTCACTTACCAGCACCTAGTAGAAAGCTGGGCTTCCCTGGTGACTCAGTTGGTAAAAAATCTGCCTGCAATGCAGGAAACCCAAGTTCAATCCCTGGGTCAGGAAGATCCCCTGAGAAGGAAATGGCAGCCCACTCCAGTTTTCTTCTCTGGAGAATCCCATGGACCGAGGAGCCTGCCAGGCTGCAGTCCATGGGGTCACAAAGAGTTGGACACGAATGAACGACTAACACTTGCACTTTCAGTAGACAGTTAGTGTACATTGTGTAATAAATGAATAAAAGTTTCTTATAAGGCCTACTTCATCTGAGAGGATAAGCTGAAGTAAACTTAGCTATATCTTTACATTAGTCACTCAGTCTTGTCCAGCTCTTTGTGACCCCATGGACTGTAACCCCTTCAGGCTCCTCTGTCCATGGGATTTTCCAAGCCAGAATACTGGAGTGGGTTGCCATTTCCTTCTCGAGGCTGTATCTTACTTTGTTACATTATCGGCTATTGGAAAGGAGGAACTGTACCTTTTTACTCTTCTATACATAACCTTGTAAATGTTAAATAAATGTAAATTGGCAATTACTGAAGACTATATATAATGAGCCAACTCATTTTCAACATTTGTGTCTGCTTAAGTGACATAGAGGTTTCCATGAATATTTAATGGTTTTACTTATGTACACAGTCATAAAACCCTTATCTCTTGCTTCCTACTATGAGAGAATCAGCTCCTTTTTAGTTGAATTTCATTCTTACTCTGGAGCCCTAGACCTCCATGGAACCCAGTTGTTGCAGGCAGGTACGAAGTATGATCTGTGGGCCCCTGAGTCACCCATTCCATGCATCTGTGTTTTAAATCTCTCTTAAGATGTCTTGGAGCAAAGATTTCTCAACTAATAGAAAAGTCGGAAATGCACTGCTCACTGCTCAAGATTTCCATATCTGTGCAGAAGTAAAGGATAGCAAATGAAAAAAAGAAAAGGAGAAATGAACACTGCTAAAAGAGTTCCCTCCCCACTTTTCATCTTCCCTAGTTTCCTGTCTTCCTCTCCAGTATACGAATGCCTAGTGGATAAATGCTCGTTGTTTTGACTTGTCAAGTTAAGACACTTTATTATTTGCGTTCTCCTTTACCGCAGGTATTTTCATTTTAATTCTCATGCTCCGGGCTGGGCTGACAATTATTCCATCAGAAGCAAGTACTAAGCCTTCAGTTTGTTGCCCATCTTCAGGAGTGTCCTGTTGATATGGTAATCGATTAGGAACAAGAAAAGGGACAAAAAGCAACTTTTATGAGGACATTTAAACAAGATTCATTTTTGGTTTCCCTAATATTTATATGCTTTCCATGGATGAGCAGGCACTTGGCTCTCTCAGCTAGTGAGAATCTCTGTGGTACCCATGAAGATTAAAGAGTATTATTTTTTTTTCATATAATGACAGCCGCCTAATGTACAGCTAATCTTTATTAAATTAAGAAAAAAAAAGCTGTAGCTATTTGATCTCCCAAATCTGTTTTACTGTGTCATAGCATATGTTGTCTGCTCATGTGTTTGGAAGATTGTCCTCTGGAGCAGCAACCACCCTCAGGTATGATAAAAAAGGATCAGTAACCTAGAAAAAGGTCCCTGCACTGCTCATATATTCAAGGAAATCAATTAGTTAGGTTTGGAAAGAACACCAAAATGGTTACTTGAACATGATATTGATATTAAAAAAAAAAAAAGAAGATGCTACTTAAGAAAAGTCAAAATATATAGTCTTTGGGGTATTTTCCCACATTACCCAGATGTACAAGATACGTAAACAGTTTTGATGAGAACCTCGTGAAGAATACATAATGAGCCCTTGATTGAATCAAAATCATTTTAAACAGAAACATGTTTTTCAAAGGATGAGCTTGAGGTTCAATTGTAATTCTATTTGAGCCTAGAGACTTGGTATTAAAAAATGGGTTATGACCTGTTTTTTCTTTTTCCTTCCCCCAAACATTTCCCTCCCCTGAGTTGTAAGCTCAACTTGGTAGAAGCAGAATATGTTTAAAGCTCCATTATATTTTTTATTGGCTGGGACACTAATGGAATGCTCCTCGACAGCTCTATTTTACAGGCTGAATCCTTTAGTTAGGCTGGTAACTGATCAGTTGTTGGGATATTGATTGTGTCATTTATCAAAGAGCCAGGAAAGCAGCAAAAACATTTGTTGTTGTTCTTGTTGTTAAAGCCCTTGACGATATAAGGTAGGCCCTACCTCTCCTACCTGCCAGGGCTCTAGCTTAAATTTAGGAGTAGTTTGCACCAGGTTTGGTTGACTAGTGGAACAGGGGCAAAGGGCACCCCTGGGGTGTGGAAAAAGTGTTCTGAACCTTGACAAAAAAGCAGCAGCTGAAAATATCTTCATTATGAAGAATGTATGCGTTGAATGCTGTGAATTTTTTGTTTTACCAGCAGGATACCGGGTTATTGTAACTAAAAGAGAGAAGTGTAAATCAAATGAATTGTTTGGGTCAAGTGCTCTTTTTCAGAAGGAAAGAGCTTTGGAGTTCAATTTTATATTTCTGTCTGGGGCATGTTCCTCTCACCAATGGTCAAGGGAATGGTCCTGAGATGGCTTTCTGTTTGCTTTTTTGAATCTATTAGGACGAAATGTTATCTGAACCTGAGTAAAACCTGGTTCTCTGTGCCTTGTCCCTCTTGAATAGCAGCTAGAACTCCCTGCAGTCAGCCCCTGCCAATGCCTCAGGGCCGCCTGGGGCACATGCTGTATGGGAGCGGTATTATGAAGATAACAGTTTTAAGGAAACTGAATTTGTTTACAGACTGTCAAAATAGAAGGGGGAAATATGGTAAAAGAGAAAACTCTCAGGAGAACCACTTCTGGCATTGTCACAGAAGTTTGTTATAGTTCCTGGCCCAAATAGTGTCTGCAGTGGGTCTCTCCCGTGGCTGTTCAGTGGTAAACCTGTCTAGGTTCTGACTTGTCCTAAAGCATATGCACTTAGTCGCCAAGCGGGGGAAAGAGAAAGAGAGAGGGGAACCATCTGGTTGGCAGAGAAACACCCTTGGCATGAACTGTATTCTTATGTTGACATTACCACAAGCTGCACTCCCAGATGGAAGAAAATGTGAAAGAAGACAGTTGTAAGTGGCGGGAAAGAATCATAAAGTTAATCCTCTTTTGTACTGGCTATCAGCACTCCTAAGCCTTAACACCACAATGTCAGTAGTTTTTATTTCCTATTCAAAGATGTTTTAACTGATAGGAACATTGTGATTTTCCACTGTCCAGGATTTCCATGCCAGAGAATCTGGAAAAATTATTTGAGAGTTGATCATTCTTTCACCTTGCTTCCATCGACAAAGTTGGGACATGTTACAAAAGTGAATGTAGTTCTTGTTTTCATTCCTTAGGAGCCTGCAGAGTGCGGGGCATTTTCTAAGCCCTGCTTTGAGAACTGTCAAAATGCTGTAACCACCTCCAGGAGAAATGATAATAGTACATTGCATCCATTTGGCACGTACAGTCCACAAGACAAACAGAAAGGTAAGGTTCTCTACTGAAAATTATCTACTGCAAGTGGTGTGAGAAAACACGAGAGTGTTTATTTAAATTTAAAAAAAAAAAAAAGGAACAAAGGGGAATTAATTAGAGTAAGTGCAGACTTCGTTGCTCCGAGTCGTGAACACAGAGATGGGTGGGGGAGCTGACTCACAAGTTGTGAAGCAGATTCCTGGCATTTCCTCCAGTTTAAGTGACAGTTTCTGTGCTTGCTGCCCCAAACATGAAGGGTTATGTATAAAACAAACCATGCCTGCAGAAACAAAATGACAAACCATTATTTTTGTTTAAGAATCTTTTAATATTGGAAGTTACCAAGTGTAAATGACAACTCAACTCACAATATATATGGACTGGTATTAAACCATGGAGTGATCATAACACAATTTGCAGACTTATGCTTATTTTTGAGTGGTAAATGCCATGAACCATGACCATGATTGTATTGTACACATCACATTTCTAGTGGAGTTTTACATGTAAAAGCCTTAGATTTTCCTCTTTGTGTTTTCAAAAATCATGCTTTAGGCCACCAAGAAATTTATTTCCCTGCTTCTCCTTTCTGTTTAGTAACTTTAATTTTTTTTGTACTACAAAAGCAATAGATATTCATGACAGGAAGGTAAGAGGAAGGCTATAAAGAGAAGATTTCATGTTTCTCGTGTGTATGTGTGCTAAGTTGCTTCAACTGTGTCTGACTCTTTGTGACTCTATGAACTGTTGCCTGCCAGCCTCCTCTGTCCATGGGACTCTTCAGGCAAGAATACCAGAGTTGGTTGCCATGCCCTCCTCCAGGGGATCCTCCCAACCCAGGGACTGGACGCACATCTCTTATGAGAAACTGACTTGACTTTCTGTCCAATCAAGAAACACTCAGTATGTCTTTTCCCATCTTAATACAGTTAAATATTTTCTTGACAAAGCAGTATCTCTTTCTAAGTCTTTCCGTCACAAAGGCAGGAAGAATCTGGGTAAGGAACAACAGGTTCCCCTCACACCAGAAGTGCCTTCTCTTGACCATGTCTGAATAATGATCAAGAATGTTTCCAGCCTTTATATACTTTGACTGTCATTTAATTCTCAAGCATCAAGTGGTCCAGTGACAATCCAAATTCAGGGTTTTATTCCTTATTGCACCAGTGATGTTCAAAGGGACATTGGACACATTACCTCCTATCTTGTTTCATTTTCAGTGCTTATAAAATATCAATGCTGAAGTGATAATTGCATGGTATATTTTTAGAAGACATTGGGATACTCAAGGAAATGGGATAATATCTCTAGGAAGGCTGGCAAAGGCAAACATAATGAAACTATAAAACTAGTTAAAGTGTAAGGATACACCCAGAAAAAAAAATATATTTTAAATAATAAAATCCATTCAAAACACATGCTGGGAAAAAACAAAAATGCTGAAAATAAGATGCAGTAGAATGTTCTGAGTTTGTATTTCCCTGAACAATGAGAGTCCTTTAGGCATAGAGCCACTGGGAGGTTCTGTCTGTTCTCTTCCTCCTGAGACATGGATCCGTGGTCCACCAGGCATCTGCTACACTTCCTCCTCCTACCTCAACTTTCCAAGGTAACATCAAAAATCCAGTTCTTTTAAAATTCCATTAGACATTATTTCTTAAAAAAACACAGAAAATCCATTATTATTTCCTTGTGGTTCTGTGATATAATACTCAGTTATAAGAATTTGACCTATCAAAGCATAGACTTGTTAAATTGTAACTGTAATAGGCCAGTAGATGGAATGCTCTTACTTTTTCTATAAGCTTATTGACTGAAAGAGGATGCTGTGGAAGAATATTGTGCTCGTCACTTCTTTGTAGTATTAATAACATTTTCAGTTTTGAGAACCATTGAGAGTTCCTGAGTTTCAGATGCACATGAGGTGGTCATAAGCCACTGAGACTCATGAAATCTGAGTGATTTTGACTTGCCACCACCCATCTTTCTAAGGAGCTCCTTTAGAAAAACAAGATTGACTTGGCAAAATGTAATGTCTAGTGAGGAGAGGAACTGTTACAGCCAAAACATTCACTTTTTTTCTTCCCTTCCTCCTTTCCTTTGTATATTTAAAAGTCCAATGTTGATATGCTGTGTTCCATCTATTTTTGTAATAATAGTACATACCACCCACTGTTCTACTGTTATTTTTTATATATATACATAATCCTGTCAAGCTGTTAGAGAGAAAAGGCATTCTTAGAACTAACATTTGTAGAAATTATAACACCAGAAAATTCACATTTGTGTTGGAGAATTGCTCGCAATGCCTGCAGTGGAATGAGTGTGGGGCTCCAGGATGGTAATAAGGATGGAGGTTGTCTCCCAGGGGTTCACTATAAAATCCTATTAAGCATTTGAATGGCAATGAAGTTCACAAACTCTACATTTTCTGAAGAATCTTTCTGGCAGATCTCACCCTGAGCCAAGTAATAGCCGAAGTGCAGTTTATCTCTGGTTTGTTCTTCCCTCTCCTTCCGTTGTTCTCATCTCCCTTTTGTGCGCTACTACTGCTTGCTCCCCACTTTTAGCTCATGAGAACTCCAGCCCTTGCCCCAGGCACTTGTGGCCCCAAGTCTGCCCAGGATCACCCACTGAGGTCTTCTCAGGCCTTTCACCATACTCCAAACCAAGTGTTTTAACTCTGTATCCTGTCCCACTGAATCCATGTGCCTCGGGGTCCTTTGAAGAGACTCATAATAGTGTGATTATGTACAATATGTCCCCTCCTGGGAACCTACATGTATCCATCCCCCAACAGCATGTAAGGCACTGCCTCTGCAGTGATGATCAGAAATTGAATTATACTTTTCAACTTGACTGATGATTATGGGATAACTTCATTGTGCACAATGTGCTACGCTGCAATGATGAATACAATGTCGTTATTGTTCTCAAGAATAGTCTAAAGCAGAGGTCAGCGGACTTTGTCTGTAAAGGGCCAGATAATACATTTCAGGCTTTGTGGACCATAGGATCTCTGTTGTAGCTCCTCACCTCTGCCACGGTAGTGCACGAGCAGCCCTAGACAGTACTTTTCATGAATGTGTTCAATGAAAGTTTACGTACAAAATCAGCTGGTGGGCTGGTTTGGGGCCAGGGCCATAGCTTACTCAGTTCTAGTCTAATGGCATGAACTCTTTTGTCCTTCTTTTCTGATTTGGCCCTGGCAGAATGGATCCTGTAAAACAAGTCAGAACAATAAACGATGGAGATTAAAATAAGGGTCATTTGGTCATAAATGAAGTAGTAACTAGATGTACAGTGTTTTACAGGCAATATGTAAAATACCCATCAAGACTTACCTTGTATATTCAGTGGGATCCAGAAATACTGTTTTTAGGAGACAAGAATTCTAGATTTTCACGATGATAAAGAGCTTAACAAAGGTGTTTGGACCAAGAGGAAAATAAAATTCTTTACAGCAAGTGGATCTGTTATTAAAAAGTACCAAGGATAATCACAACATTGTTGATCAACTATACTCCATATAAAGTAAAAAGTTAAAAAAAAACTACCAAGGATAAAGAGTCATCAAAGAAAACATATCTGCACCTATCATTATTTTGAAAACATGTAGATTATTCATGTGAATAAAATAAAAATAGAAGCTAATGATCATAATCAACTTGAAGTAGCCAGAGGAGATGCTAAAGAAGAAGAAGGAGAGGCAAAAGAGGGGGACATGGATGAATTTATATGTGGTGCAGTAAGAGAAATAAATATAGACAAGTAAATGATGAATTGATAGCTCATTCCAAAAGGAGCACATGGTAAATGTTACACAAGAATTAGGTTTTGTAATATTAACAGATAAACTGAAAGTGTCAGTGGATAAAGATAGTGAAGATGTATTTCTTGCTTATATCACAACCCAGTGAGAATTGAGGGACCTGGGCTGTTTCCATTGGAAGCTAGCCATTGTCCGGTGCCTCATCCACATATGGTTGCAGAAGGTAGATGGGAAAGGGGGAGAAGTTGCGTGTACCCTATCTTAAACATTAAAACTGGACACAACATTGACCATAGTAGCTTACTTTCTATTGGCAAGAACTAGTCTAGTTACAAAAAGGGGTGGAAAATGGGGTTGATGGTCTAGATGTGTGCCAGGAAGAAAAGAAGACCATAGATACTGGGAGCACTAGAATTCTCTGCCACTGTTGTAAAAATACCAACAGATCCCATAAAGTGAAGGTTTCATAGGAAAGGTGATATTTGAGGTGGACCTTGGGAGAAGGGTGGGACTTTTAATGGATGAAATGGGTTTTGCAATTATATGAGCAAGTACACTGGGGTAGGAAAGCCTGGCCTTGGGGTCTGGCATTGTAAATGGTCTCGAGTGGCTGATGTGTAATAGATAAAGTTGACTGCCAGGGACAGAGACTTTTATACTCTAGGCGATTGTGTGCAACGTTTTGATCAGGCAGTTACATGATCACAGCTATGTTTGCCACTAGTGAAAAAATGAACTGAGAAGTTGAGGATAAATGATTAGAACCAGTAGAAAAGACGTGGTCCCCATATGTCCTTTATTCCAACTTAACCTTGTAGACTTTCTGCTCTGTGTGCGTGTGTGCTCAGTTGCTTCAGTCATGCTCAATTCTTTGTGACCCTCTGCAGGGTCTCTGCCAGACTTCTCTGTCCATGGGATTCTTCAGGCAAGAATACTGAAGTGGGCTGCCATGCCCTCCTCCAAGGGATCTTCCCGACCCAGGAATCAAACCTGAGTCTCTTATATCTCTTGCATTGGCAGGTGTTGGTTTTTTGGGTTTTTGTTTTTGTTTTTGTTTTTTACCACTAGTGCCATCTCTCAGCGAATCTTTGACTGCCTGACTGCTGCATATTACCAGGTCCTTGGAGGTGGAGGACAGTGCTGACTGCTTTGTTCCTCATGCTTCTGTACTCTGATCATCTGACTTATCAGGTTCCTGCTTCAAGTCTCATTTTCAGAGATATTTCAGCAGTGCTAGAACTGCCTCCCTTTTATACTAGTCTGTGATGCGGAGCTTTGTACAAGTCCTTCCCTGGTATATTCATCAGGGTTCTCCAGAGAAACAGAACCAGTGGAAGGTATATGTGAGTATATGTATGCATGTGTGTGTATTACATATACATACATATGTAGAGATTTACTGTAAAAGATTGGGTAACATGATTATAGAGGAAGGCAAATTCCAAGACCTGCAGAGTGAGTGAGCAAGCTGAGAGCTAGAAGAAAGAGCCTATGGTGTAGTCCCTGTCTGAAGGCCAGCAGGATCAAGAACCAGAAGGAGCCAGTGGTTCAGTTTGAATCCAAGGGCCGGAAATAGCCAGTGTCTCAGTTTGAAGGCAGTCAGGCAGGAAGAATTCTCTCCTACTTAGAGGAGGGTCAGCCTTTTTGTTCAGGCCATGAACAGATTGGATGAGGCCCACCCACATAGGGGCAGTTGCTCAGTGGTTAAGAATCCACCTGCACTTCAGGAGCTGCAGGAGACTCAGATTCAACCCCTGGGTTGGGAAGATCCCCTGGAGGAGGACATGTCAACCCATTCCATATTCTTGCCTGGAGAATTCCATGGACAGAGAACCCTGGTGGGATACAGTCCTTAGGTTCACAGAGTCAGACATGACTGAAGCGACTGAGCGTGTGTGCACATCCACATATGGGAGGGGTGCAATCTACTTTGTCTGCTGATTTCAATGTTACTATCACCCCAAAACAACCCCACAGAATACCAAGTGTCTTGGCACCCTGAGCCCAGTCAAGTTGACACATAAAATTAACCATCAGACCTGGTGTGTGGGCAAGTCAAAGCAGATTGCTACTAGCAGCATTTCTCAAGGACAAAGAGATTATTTCCTTGTTCCATCAATAGAGTCAACTTTCTACCCGTATCTCACTATAACAGATCCATAGCAAGTTTATGGTGTACAGATTAATAATCTTTTTTTTTTACTTTTTGGCACTTTGTTTTTATAAATCACTGTTTGAATATGCACTGTCATATAATCCTTGTGCTCTTCCAATGAAAGTATTCATATCCCTCTATGTAGATTTAAAAACCAAAGTTTATAGAAGTTGAGTAGTTTTCCCAAGTGCATACAGCATAACAGGCCATGATTGGAAATATGCATTTTTGCTGCTCAAACCATACTCTTAACCATTATGCATATAATTTTTTTCATACATTATTTAATAATTTCTTTTGTGATGAGGGTTAAATAATATTTCAGGCTAAGCTCAATGCGCGATACACAGAAAGATCTCAAAAATCCTTGCTTGTTATTAGTTGTAACATTCAGTATACATGTCTATTTACTTTTCATATAAAATAGACTGAGAAAGTAAACAGTTTTTGTGGGTAGGAAAACCAGGATTCAGACCCCAGTCTTCTGCTTCCTAGGCCCCAAACTCAGGGTTTTCTAATACAATGCAGATGCAAGAAGAATTTCTTTTTTAAACCTCTATGGTGTCTAAACGGTGAGTAGATATACTGTACCTCATGATTTTTTAAGTACTTTTTGTCACTGAGGTCAATGCTTAAATCACCATCTAATCCACAGCATTCATTACAGAATCTTGTTTACAAAAATGTTAAGTTATTTTAAAAAATGGCTTGTTAATCTTCTACAAATCACAAGTAATGAATATGTGTCAGCCTTTTTGAGATGAGAAAATGTAGTTAAGATGCACGGACTTCACTTGCCAGGGCTTCCCAGAGGGTCACCAGCGTAAAAACATATTAGCAGGCTAAGATTTCCTTATACAGGCTGTATTAGTGCACATATGAGTCCTTCGGTTCTGTATGAGGACTTATTTATTTCATGGTTGGTTTCTGTGTTGGTGAAAATTACGTCTGAGAAATGGACTGAAACAAAACGAGGCACCAAACAGTTCTGCCTCTGGTTTCCTACAGCTTTATTTGTTCTTTGTTTATAGACCTATTGCTTCCCAGTGACGGATGGGCTGAGAGTGAAGTACCACCTTCTCCCCAACCACATCCCGTTCTGGAATTGGGCCTTGAAGATTACAGCCACAGGTATCAATAAAATGATATATCGTAAATGTTCCCTGTTATGGTTTTTCTGGGAAAACCCAGCAACCTTATTTTAACTCTATTTCTTTCCAGAATGGAAATCTCATAGTATCTATAATTTCTTTCCAGTGAAAGCTTCTTATAGCTAATATTGACACCTCAGATGGTTCATTTTCGCTTCCTGAAATTTGAAATTCATCATATATTATTAAAATATATAGGAAAATTGTTGAGTCTTTTTTTACCAAGTTAAAAACTAGAGAGATAGAACTCAAAAAAAAGTTATATGGGAGGGTATAAAACAAAACTGAGAAGACATAAAGCTCCTTTTTTTTTCATTCATAATTGGCAAATCCTAAAGGTATCTTTAAAATATATGTTGCAAGAAAGTTAATGGAATCTAAAAATTAAAGCAACAGCATATGTAGTCTAAACTATTGAAAACAATGCCCAATATTATATCCATTCTGTAATAGAAACAAAAAAATCAATAATGTTTAGACTCACACAAGCATGAGAAAGAGAGATTTACTAAGCATACACCCCATTTGACTAGTAGAATTTATAGATTTTGTTCTTCTGATGAGTTTTAAAAATCATTAACTTGTCCCTTTGCTATTTTCTATATTCATTATGGCTATTAAAAATTGGATATTTTATTCCATTGTTGCCCCATGATAATCCTGTGAGATTTTTTTTCATTTATCTTGCAGCAAGGCTGGTGTCATCACTATTATGTTTTTTATTACAATCTGCTAAAAATAAAACAATACAAGAGTATAGCTACCTCTATTAGCCAAAAGCTTACCTATATTTAGCTATCTCCTATCCCTACCTTTTTGAAGTCTAATATCTTACTCAAACACAATTTCTTGAACTAGACTGATAATGATAGTAATGTTCTAGATCAGTATCTCTGGGGTTTTCTTGAGCAAAAATCTGGACATATTTGATTTTACTTGTTTATTTCCATTACCTGCCTTTAGTCTGAAGCAAAAATAACAGTTTGGTAGCATTAAGAAGTCCCCTGTTGAAAATAATTTCACTCACCCTACCTTACTGTTTATCTAGGGTATATGCACAAAACTGCTAGAACAATGCAGAGATAAATCAGATATAAACCTGTGATGTTGTATTTATAATAAGAAATGTTTATTTGGTCTTAATCCCATTTCTGGCACTGACCCCTAAAAACCTTGAAATTTCCTAAGTATTGAGAGTGATAAAGGTGTCTCATATAAATGAAGTGGCTTTTGGAAACATCTAAGGAAGGAGACTGGTTGCCAGTGGAGCCAGTCTTGTGCTTAGAGGGTTGGAACTTCAGTCCCATCTGGAGAAATGGGCCTTGAATCAGTTGACCGTGGCCTATGATTTAATCAGTCTTGTTTTTGTAATGGGGGCTTCCCAGGTGGCGCTCGCTGTGGTAAGGAACGTGCCTCTCACTGCAGTAGACCTAAGAGATGAGGGTTCGATCCCTGGATCAGGAAGATGCCCTGGAGAAGGAAATATTAACCCACTCCAGTATTCTCACCTGGAGAATCCCATGGACAGAGGAGCCTGGCGGGCTCTGGTTCATAGGGTTGCAAAGAGTTGAACACAACTAAAGCGACTTTGCATGCAGGCACGCCTGTTTTATGAAACCTCCATAAAGCCCCAGAATGACAGGGTTTGGAGACCTCCTGAGGTGGTGAATATGTGGAGATGTGAGGAGAGGGGTGCACTTCGAGCACAGAAGCTTGGAGCCCCTTCCCACATGCTTTGCCTCACGCAGCTCTACATCAGGCAGTTCCTGAGTTTTATCCTTAAACTGTAAACCAGTGAGCTAGGAAGTAACATGTTTCTCTGAGTTCTGTAAGCCACTCTCAAATACTGATCAAACCCAAGGATAGAAAGGAGAGAGGTAGGATGGGCAGTTTAGGTTAGGAAAACCAAATGAGGAGAGAGGGAAAATGCAGTGTGTTCGATGTGGTGAAAACATATAGTATGTGGGAAAGAAGTTATGGCAAGGGCATGGCCAGCCATTCTCCGAGAGCACCATGCTTCTGCAGAGACCAGTGGAGAAGCGTTGAAGGGTTTGAAGGCAGGAGGTGACAATGTCATGATACGTGAGCACAGCTGTGGAGGATAAATGGATAAGGGAAGTCATCGACAGGGATACTAGTCTGAAACCACCAGCAAGAGAAGAGGGGGGCTTGAAAAAAAGAAGGAGCAGCATAGCTGGAGAAGAAGGGACAAAATCAAAGAGATTTTTGAAAAGGAATGAACAAATCTAAAGCTTTGAATCTCTCAATCTCTCTTTCTCTCTCCCCACCCTCCTGGGATTCTGTGACCTGTACCATCCTACAAGCTGCTGTGTTGCCTAGGTGACCAGCAGCCTTGGGGGTTTGGATGTGTGAAACTTAGAATGGAGGAAGCCTTGGAAGGGAGCCAGGAGGGTTCAGCAAACGAGGCTGTCCTATCTTTAAAAAAAAAAAAAGAAAAAATGTAATAAGCCCTCTGAAAGGGAAAAGTAGTGCTTTAAGGGATGGAACCAGTCTTATGAAACAGAAGACTACTAATTCGCAAGGAGTAAAAAACAAATTTCATCAGGCTAAATTTATGCCTGTACACGGAACCAAAATGAAATCAGGAATTTAAGTAATTTATTTGTAGTGATATGGGCTTTCCAGGTGGCACTAGTGGTAAAGAACTCACCTGCCAATGCAGGAGATATAAGAGATGTGGGTTCAATCCCTGGGTTGGGAAGATTCCCTGGAGGAGAGCATCACAACCCACATCAATAATAATTTGACAAAAATTTAGAATGTGTCTAAATTAAAAACATATATGTGTGTGTGTGTATGTGTGTGTGTATGTATATATATATATGAAAGAAATATATTATCTACCATGATGTCTCAGAAAGAGATTAAGGCAAATCAACGGCAGACAGAATATATTGAATGTGATTAGCTGTTCAGACAGCCCTTGGTCATCCCCTCTGTGTTCACAGTGTCTGTCCCTCTTGCTTCTCTCTCACTTCTGTCTCTCCTTCTGTCTCTCTTCCCGGACACGTGACCTGCGCCTACTCTCACACATAGTAACCAATCATTGATGATAATCCGTGGCCACCTGAGACTTTAGACGTAATTATTTCGGCATGCCCTTCGAACCCTTCCCCTGCCTTTTTATTTCAGGTAGTTCTCCTTGAACATTCATGGCAGATCTTATATGTCTTTCACATTCCTGATTTGTCACCATGCTCAGGACACTGGCATATGTTTCATGCTACCCTTATTTATTCATTGTGCAGCATCATCTGACATTGAGTATCATTTCCCTTTGATGGATCCCCTGGTTGTTCATGCTGAAAACACAGTCTTTATCTAGGATATGCCTTTGGCCTGCTGTCAACTTGTGTCTTTCGCTGCAGCCCACTCAGCCATGAGCACATGCTAACTGCTTTCAAATTTAAAATATGTCATATTTTATAGTTAATCACTGTGTCACTGTCTCACACCAAAAAATTCCAATATGTAGCATAAAATTACAAACTGTTTTACTAGTCTAATGTTATCTTACTAGTCTAAGTTATTTTCCCATTAGTCAATTCAATTCTACACACATTCAAGTACAAGTTTATATTAGCTTTAACCCTACTGTGTCTCATATTACACTTCCTTCCTTCCTTAAATATATGCCAGTCCCAATCTGATATCAGCCTAATTTCCATTTTGCACCATGGCAAGAGAGGTCCTTTTATTGAAGGCTTTCAAAGTGTATACTTGCCCATGTTCAAAACAACGGTAACAGAGGTATGTATCATCGTACCTAATGTAATGGACATCTCCAGGTTTGCATATGTTTATATACATATATATATACATGCACATATATGTGAATATATGTTGCATTCATATGTACAAAGCAGCTTTTTATTTCTTTGATCATCTTTGATGGCATCTCTGCATCTGTACAAAAAATTCACTTTATTTAGACTGATCCTTACTTGATGTTACTATATCACTGTCTTATTTTTTTCAATGGAGGTGGGGTTAATTGTTTCCCAAGAGTTTGGTAAATTTGAGTTCTTATTCTTAATTTGACAGATAATGCCTAGTTTGGTAAAGCATTCTAAAACAGTAAAGTGAATTAACCAAAACATTACACAGTTGGGTAGATTCCCATAGTCTGCCTTGAGCAGAGCACTTTAAATGCAGCGTGATTTCCTTTAAAGAGGAATATTCATGTTGTTCTAAATTTCCTCCCAAAAGATTTCCATTATAACATGTGACATATGTTTTGATTAACCCTTTAATTTTCTTTTATTTCACAACATGCACCACTCTGTTGAAATTTAAAAAAAAAAAACTAACCTAAAATGCAAGTTGCATAAGAGTGTGTGTGAAACTGTACTAAGAGGTAAACGACCGAGTTCTATGGATGCAGGATTAGCAACAACGTGCATCCCAGGCTGGCAACCATTTTGCCAAAGATCTTGTGGCTCTGGGAAAAGTTCAAGTAGCCACAAGCCATCCTGGCTTCACCAGTGGCCAGCCGTTGCGACCTTGGAATATCAGCCTCCTCTTTGGGCCTCAGTGTCTTACCTACAAGATGAAGAGTTAGATGAGGTGACTTTAATGACTTCCAACTCTTCGATTCTCTGGTTCCATGAAGGCCATGTGAGTCTCTCTGACACTAAAACCATATCATCACAAGAGATCAAAGGATGAAAAACTAAGTGCAAATAAAGGTCGGATAACACATTTAAAGGCAAGTGCTTCCAAAACATCAAGGCTCAGAGAAAAGCTCATATTCACCAGGGCATCTCAGAATTCCTCTTTAAAATGAACTAAAACAATTAAAATATTCTATCATGCCAGGCCAGTCAACAGCACTAGTGGATCAGGATTTATGTTTACAGTTAACATATTTTGCCACCATCACTAGATACCCCATCTAATATATTCAACATCGGTAGCTTTCTTGACTGAGAATATAGCCAGAAAGAAAGAAGCCAAAGCGGGGAGGTGGGGGGAGAAGAAGAAAAGAAAATCTTTCATAATTCTAAAGAGTAGCTTTAAAGTTCTTGAGCAGTTTTCATGAAAAATATACAGTTGTCTCTCGGTATCCGTGAGGAATTTGTTCCAGGACTCCCAGGGGTACTAAAATCTGCAGGTGCTCAAGTCCCTGGTATAAAATGGTGTACTGTTTGTACACAGCATCCTCCCATATGCTTCAAACCACTTAATACAATGGAGATGCTATGTAAATAGTTGTCAGAGCATGGGAAATTCAAGTTTTGCTTTTTGAAACTTTCCAGAATTTTTTCTTTTCTGAATATTGTTGGTCCCAGGTTGGATGATCAACCTTGGAATATCAGCCTCCTCTTTGGGCCTCAGTGTCTTACCTACAAGATGAAGAGTTAGATGAGGTGACTTTAATGACTTCCAACTCTTCGATTCTCTGGTTCCATGAAGGCCATGTGAGTCTCTCTGACACTAAAACCATATCATCACAAGAGATCAAAGGATGAAAAACTAAGTGCAAATAAAGGTCGGATAACACATTTAAAGGCAAGTGCTTCCAAAACATCAAGGCTCAGAGAAAAGCTCATATTCACCAGGGCATCTCAGAATTCCTCTTTAAAATGAACTAAAACAATTAAAATATTCTATCATGCCAGGCCAGTCAACAGCACTAGTGGATCAGGATTTATGTTTACAGTTAACATATTTTGCCACCATCACTAGATACCCCATCTAATATATTCAACATCGGTAGCTTTCTTGACTGAGAATATAGCCAGAAAGAAAGAAGCCAAAGCGGGGAGGTGGGGGGAGAAGAAGAAAAGAAAATCTTTCATAATTCTAAAGAGTAGCTTTAAAGTTCTTGAGCAGTTTTCATGAAAAATATACAGTTGTCTCTCGGTATCCGTGAGGAATTTGTTCCAGGACTCCCAGGGGTGCTAAAATCTGCAGGTGCTCAAGTCCCTGGTATAAAATGGTGTACTGTTTGTACACAGCATCCTCCCATATGCTTCAAACCACTTAATACAATGGAGATGCTATGTAAATAGTTGTCAGAGCATGGGAAATTCAAGTTTTGCTTTTTGAAACTTTCCAGAATTTTTTCTTTTCTGAATATTGTTGGTCCCAGGTTGGATGATCCTTAAATGCCATGCTGAGGATACAGAGGGTAGACTGTGTAATTTTTTTTTGCTGAAGAATGCCTTAAACCCTCATTCAAAGACCAGGCTAAGCTACAGAAACAAAGGAAAGGATTAAAGTTTACTTTTGTAAGCTCTTGTTGAGTTCTTACTGTATGTTAGGCACTGTTGTCAGTATTTAACATATCACAGTTTATTTCACCCTTAATGTTAAGTAAATTCTATTACTGTCCACTTTTTATAAAGATTCTTTTCTGTTACGGTTGGCTACAGGCTATTGAATATAGTTTCCTGTACTATATACACTGTCCATTTTATGCACTAGGCCACCCACCCTGGCAACTCACTCCCAAGCCCATGGCCCTAAACCTTAGTGTGTGTGTGTGTGTGTGTGTGTGTTAGTTGTCATTAATGTCCAACTCTTTGTGACCCCATGGACTGTAGCCTACCGGTCTCCTCCGTCCATGGAATTCTCCAGGCAAGAATACTGGAGTGTGTTGGCATGTCCTTCTCCAGGGGATCTTCCTGACCCAGGGATAGAACTTGGGTCTCCCGCGTTGCAGGCAGATTCTTTACCATCTAAGCCACCAGGGAAGTCCGTAAATCTTATACCACATTCCTTCTAAATAGGAGAGAAGGGCTTTTAGTCACAAGCCCACAGAAAGTCTGACAAAAACAGAGAAGCCAAAAAAAAAGCAAACTGTAAAAACTTAAGTAACTTGAAAAGCAAAAACTTAGAGTCATTTGAAAAGCAAACGCAGGTCTGTTTATTTATCTGCTTATTTCCTAAATGTTCCTACCATACTTACGCTGCTCCAGACCCTAGTCTCCTTATTTTACAAATCGCTTCTCAAATAATTGTTTGTAACTCATTTTATCTGTTATTAAAGGTCGTTACCCATGGGAGATAGGAGTGGAATTATACCCATTTTATACACACAAAAAATGGAAGCGCAGAGAGGTTGAGTAACTTGCCTGGGTCCCACAGCTAGGAAGGAGCAGAGCCAGGACTTAAAACTGAGCAGACCTGCTCTGGACTTGGTGCTTTTGAATGCTCTGCAGTGTTACACTACAATAACAGAGGCTCATTCATTCAGCAGTATTATTATTGCTGCAAGGCAGTATTAAATATGCATGACTAATAAGTTTCAAGAAAGACTGAACCTTTTTTGATATATTTGGTTAAGAAAAATTGAGATTCTCCAGTACGTTTTAGTATTCCCATTCATAATGGTTGAGTTTTTTAGTTGTTATTTTATTGTTTACAGTGTCAAATCCCAATTGTTTGAAAAAATTCAGACATCCTTTCTGATTTACCAAGAAGACTTCATTTTATTTTTTCCTTTATTTAAGAGTAAAGTTGTGTTGAAATGAGCTGCCATATTTACTTTCTAAATATATGAACCAAAGGAGAAAGGGCTCTAAGTTAATGTATGAAAAAGTATATAAATATAAATTATTTCTGGATCAAGAAATGAGACATTGTCTGTAATTCCCTTATATAATCCCCTCCATCCTCAAGCAAATAAATAAAATACTCAGCAGAAATGAAATTCTTTGAGATTGAATACAAGTACTAGGAAGTCTATAATGGGCATTTGATGTATCTTGTGTCTAAATTGTCAGCTGTGCTTTTCTTGTTATTTCCTGTTGGTATTATTGATGAGCAGACTATTTGCTCAGCATTAACATTACTTTTAGAAAATAGACCTAAATAAAGTAGAAAACCAAACTACCACAGCCATTAGTCATTAACAGGATGGTTTTCTCGAAAGGACACAGCCCTTTCACTTGTTTTTTTAAAGGAAGGCCATGCTTAGCCCACACCTCTCTCTTAACCTACATTTAGGTTCTGCTAATATCTAGTGACATCCTTTGAAGCACTAGTGGTTCACAGGTTCACTTTACCCACTTAAAGTTATATATTGTACAGCAGGATCCCAATTAGCAGAAATCAGTGAAGAGGAAAACATGATGTTAGCCAGAGAATATTGTTTAAATTGCAGAATATGATAAAATCCAGGAAAACAGAGTTGCTACATCTCATAAGAGATACCTGAGGTTCACCAACTGGTTGAAAATGCCTAGTTGGGACCTACAGAGGGAGTGATGAAGAGCTCTGTTCAAAATGAGAACTGCTGCCTTTAATTTTTTTTTTTTTTTAATTCTAAACCTAAATGTGGCGTATGGCTTCTTTCTGCAGCTCTGGGGTGGACTCAGCAGTATATTTTCCAGATCAGCATATCAACTTTAGATCTGTGACACCAGCCAGGCAGCCTGAATCAATGAATCTGAAAGCCTCAAAGAGCATGGACCTCGGTAAGTGAGGGTGAGGTGACGTCCAGGTCAGCTGTCTAGCCTCAGCCCATCTGTCTTCCTGAATGTCCTGCCTTTGTTTCTTCAACTCCAACCTTAGGGGGCAAGGTCTGCTGAAGCATGGAAAAAGGGATAATAGTCATCCTATCTTTCTGTCTCCTACCACACATTTAATCCTAATTACTCCTTTTTAAAAGAGAGATAAGTGACATTTTTATAAAGTGGGCCATATAGGTCAGAAAAGTAGGAGTATTCCTTCTGGAGGATCTGAATGCATAAGCATCTTTAACTCACCTGCCTTTGCGTTTGTACTTTCACGTCTGCTGGTCCCTTTCCATTTCTCATGTACATACCTGTTGCGGGGCCTGGGAAGATCATGAAGTTCAATGAATCCTCTCCCACGGAGCATCCTGTCTCTGTGTGCAATGTTTGCGAATGGTGGCAGTGAAGAAACTTTCTCTCTTTAAATGCCCATCTTCAAATCCGTCCCTGGGTTTGCCAGATTGAGGGTATCTAAGAGCCCAGTTTCATGCCCAGACAACCTCAGTGAGGTTCTGCGTCCTACAGAGAATTTCTGGGCGAGTGCTTGAGTCCTGCAGAGAATATCTGGGTTAGTGTTGGTTGCCAGGGCAATCAAGAGCTGCTGAAAACTGTATTCTCCAGGCTCTAGAATGTGAGACCTTGGAAGATATCTCAGACACCCAAGCACATCGCTGCTCTCCCTTGGGCCCTTAGAGAGAGAATGATTAGAATAGGGTGCTAGTGCAAAATAAATTCTCAGCAACATATTTACTGATTTCTGAATGCTCAGAGACCAAGCCTCGCCAATTTTTTTTTTTCCTGAGGCACATTACATTATTTCATTAGTAGCACCAAGAAAATAGAATAATCAAAACTGCCTGTTCCATGAAACAATCTGATAAATAGTGCTTATCTGTTACTCATTTACAAGAGTTCAGAAAAATGTTCAGTCATTATGAAACAAGAAAAATTGATTCTGTTTTCTATAAATTAACTAGATCACTAGGATACATTTGCTCTAACCACCTATAGCAAGAGACTGATAGAAACCTTAATAAGGAGACTGTCTTGAGCACTGGTACAAAAGGGGTATTTTCTCTCAAGTGTGAACCCCTTGACAGACCAAAGGAATAATGCGTGACAGTGACATAGGTTATTACTAATTATGTGAGGAGCAATTTGTTTTTATAGAGTGCTTGATAAATATTTCCTGTTCTGTCTTCCCAGTTTCTCTATAAAGAAGATGAATGGATAAAAACTGCTCTTAATTTGGGATAAGAAATATATTACTGTTTTCCTCACTTAGTTTAAAAACAAAAAAGGCCAACAGTATGGTTTTTAAAAGTCTCTGCAAAAGAAAAAAAAAAATAGCAGCCATTACAAAAAAAAAAGTATCAGATCTACAAAAATAAAACCTAAACCACATGTAGAAACTGTATTTATGTTTAATTTTTTGTTAGTGAAAGCTTTGTTTTTAAACAGTTTTCTCTTTTAGATTGAAATAGCCCTTGAAAAATGTGAACAGTTAGCAGTCACCCATTGCATTTCAGTGTACTTACACCATACATGACAATAATGTTTGTTCAATTTTACATAGTAGGGCAAAGGTCATGAGTTATTTTCTTCAGGACACAGGTATCAAATTAAAGGCATTGACTTAAATGCACTATACAGCACAAGTGGCAAAGTATGCTATGAAAACATTTTTAAACTAATTATGAAAGTTTGGTCCTTTCCAGGAAATGCCAAATCAAAGCTAACAGTCTCTCAGAGAGCTCTGAGGTCAATATTCTAGGGCCATTCTGAACCCCTATTCCCAGAACAATTGAGTGAGCTCAATAAATATGTGATTTCTCTCAATGAATAAACTCAAATGATACCATAATGGTAAACATTTGGAAGTGCCTTCCTTGTTTGATTAGATGAAAAAGATACTGTAAGTAGTTTAGCTTTCCATATATAGCACCAGGCCAATGTAAAGAATTAATGTATTTGCTAAAAAGGTTGGTGACTGTACTTAGAGGAATAATCCTCCAAGCAGGGTCAAGACCCATTCTTAAATTTTTTTTTTTTTTAAATTGAGGTATTTAGGCTGAATAGCAAATTAATGCTATTTGATTATCTTTGACCTAGAAAAACAGCAATTTTATATGATTCAAAATAGAAGAAGATAAACCTCCTACTTATTGCATAATTTATGTTGAATATTGCTCCTTTAGAAAACCTTTAAACTTCAAAGACTAATAGACCTCACTGGTACCTTCCTTGTTTTTGTTGGTTTCATTTTTGCTACTGAGCCTAAGCTAGCTTTTTAATTTGCACATTATGTTCAAATTATTTTAAAGATGAATGGGTTCCATTTATTTATTTTCACTTATGTTTTTAAAGACAATTTTTATTGTGAAAAATAAAACCTTCTCATTCCCATCTCCTTCTTTTATTCACAAGATACAAACATATTTTAAAATACTTTGCTACCTATTTACCATCCATGTTCAAACATCTCTGTCACACATTGTGTTTCTTTATACTAATTGTACAGTGTTATATGAAGGACTCTTACTTTTCCCCTTTTGATTAAATTTGCGCTTAATTTAGAGTTGGGAGTTTTGGTTTGTGTGAGCGGGCTTGGTCCATTTGAATTTCTTATTCTGTGATTTGTTTATTCATATTCTTTGCCAAAAATGTTTGCGCTTGTTAATTTTTTTCATCTTTTAGAATATCATTATATATGTTGTAAATAACTTTTTGCAATCTATTATTTGTTGTCTTAGTTTGATCATGGTATCCTTTACTATAAAAGATGTTTTAGTCTTATTGTCAGATAATTGTGTCTTTTCCTTCATGACTGTTTGGTTTTATTTATATCATTTATTTTCTTGTACTTTTAAAGTCTTGGGTCTTTTCATGTTTATCAATAATATACTTTTATTCATCATTTGTGAAGTGGGAAAAATTTTCTCCATGTAAATAGGCAAGTTATTCATAATGTTTATTGAGTTTTGCTTTCTCCTCCCATTAACTCAGAATGCAGTCATGTTGAATATAAATCCCCTTTCATCCAAAGGATGATTTCTAAGTGCTTTTCTACTGATGTATTGGTCTGCTCCATGCCAGTGTCATCCTGTTACACTGCATTTTAATAACTTACAGAGCAAGCTTCCCTGTTTTCTCTTCTTTTGTAAAATTACTTTGGCTCTTCATATGCTTTGTTCTCCTATGTGAACCCTAGATCAGCTCATCAAAAAATTAAACGGGAATGCTTCTGTTGTGTTTGTGTGCCCATTAATTATGAAGTTTGCTATTGGTTCCTGATAGAAATGTTTTTATCAGTTTAAATGTTTCTTTGTATTCCTAGCTTCTTGAAAAGTTCTTTATTTGCTCACTTTGTTTAATCAGGAATGGATATTGAATTTTATTAAGTGATTTTAAGGATCTATACAGGATGATTGTAGTTCGTTCTTTTATTACTATAGTGAGTTATAATAATAGATTTCCCAATATTATATCTTGGATTTTTCTGAATGACTCTACATTTTTCTCTGCATTTGAAGAAGGTAGAAATGAGTAACCTATTTTATCTATGTGATCTAAAATGTAGGTGTAAGACCCTGATTATAGTTTTATTCAGTGCTATTAATTCCTATATACTTAAAGGTATAGATTTTTTTTTTTTTTTTTGAGGCCATTCTGCCTCAGTATTTGTGGATACTTTTGCTGGCATGCATGTGGCCACATTTAAGTCAGATCAGAAATGATTCAAATGATGAATAAAAGGAATTTATTTTTAAGTAATTAGATGTAACTATGCTTATTCAAAGGGGTTAGGGTGTCATTTTCTGGGTTTTCCAGAAAATCAGTCTATTCCTACTAATTGTAGACTTTCCTCTATTTATTTAAATTACCAGAATTACTATGTTCAGTCTGGATCCCTTTAATTTGTTCATAATTGAGCTTGTGTGGGTGTTGAGTTGGAAGCTCTCAGGAGCTGAATAACACAGCTGCCTCTTTGGCCTTTGGCATAGGGTTTTCCCCCAAAGAGCTGCCCTCACTGGCAGTGTGCCAGAGAGTCACATTCAAAGGCTTTTTGATGAAGTACAAATATCTTTCACTTCCAGGCCTGGTGTTTTATGACCCTGTAATAGTATTGAAGAATTAGTCTAAATTATTCAAGGAACGGCCCTTCAGTATTTTGGTCCACTCCCTGACCTACTCTACAGCCCCATTCAAAGTTAAGTTTAAAATGCTATTTACCACAAGATTTTCTTTTTCCTGAGTGTTTTCTCTCCTGTTTCAAGTTGGCCTCCTACTCCCATTTCAGAAGGGTGTTCTGTAACACAGTCAGAGGAAGGCTGAGCGCAGTGCAGATGGAAGATACTGACCAGCTGTCCTGCCTCTGTTCAATGAGAGGAAATGAGCTTCAAGTGATGCATGAGGCATTCAAACGAAATTTTAGGAAGTTTCCTGACAATGAAGCTTGTTAACATTCCATGTCTCACAGTCTCTTAAAACAGTGCAAGTGTCTTGAACGACTGTCCCTAAAATCAATACAATAGATAAATAATAGATAAACCTGCTGGTTTTCTTTCAAGATGTGTGATTCAGCAATTTAATTTTCTGTTAGTTGCTTGCTGGAAATTTGTATTAAGGTAGAAGTATTGGTAGACGTTCACAGTCAAAGTAAATTCTTAATTGACTGATTTCTCAAATCAACAAAAGATTTGGGTCAACTTTTGAGTATAACCCTTGCATACACATCAGACATTCCTTTCAGAGAATAGTCAGGTATCTTATCCAATGGAAAACAGGCATGAAAAAAGTTAATGAAACCCATTTCATTGTTCTAATACTTTCTTTTTAATTTTTTTGTACAGTAAAGAACTTTCATATGCATTCCCAGAAATAAAACAAAAATCCTAAACATCGGATATATAGACGAATTTTTATAAAACTACACTCTGATAACTGAGGCTGATTTATCA